ATTTTTTTTGTTAAACAACCACTACCTTTCACAGGCAAACGCAAAGTCCATCTAGTAGACTACTCCTGAAAACACGGGGCTCGGGGCAGGGTTGGAGGGCAACGAAATAAAAATGAAATAATGAAAAAAACGAGGAAAAAAAAGAAAAGACACAACGACCAAGGACATCGGGGAAGGCCCTCACGAGGATGGCATGTAACACCAGGCCGCGAGGTCCCACCAGCAAAAACGCCGATAGGATCGAGATCCTGAATCTGGTTGTGTTTTAAGCAGAAATACAGAAAAGCAGTTCAATCTCAATTTCCTGCACATTTCCATAAACTGGTCGAGATTCAGGCATTCGATCCGATCCTCTTTGCTAGTGGGACCACGCCCCAGTGCTTTTCGAGGAATGTATCTGGCCACTATGTGGGGAAGCGTTTTTTTTTTTCTTTTCTTTTTTTTCCTTTTTTTTTTTTTCATGACGTCGTAGAGTGTGCCCTGACAGCCAGCCAGGGCGAATTTCACGGGGTGGCATGTAACTGTCTCAGCGCTGTAGCATCCCTATATCCGCCCTCAATCACAAGCAAGCTTTCTTTTTTTTCTTTTTTTTTTTTTGTTTGTTTGTTTGTCCGCTACACGCCCTCACTGAGGGCACAGTCACACGAGCACCTGACAGTATGTATCTGGCGGTTATCGAGGCTTTCAGGAAGTTTTTTTTTTTGTTTTTTTTNGGCTTTCAGGAAGTTTTTTTTTTTGTTTTTTTTCCCCCTCTTTCCCCCTTCCCCCCCCCCCTTGTTCCTTCTTCGATCAAAGTGCCACGGCTCGGCGAAACTCGGTGTGCAGTGAAAATCGGGCTCGGCAAAAACAGGATCAGAGGTTGTGGTGGTTTAAGAGGGGCTCATCACTCGTGCGATCAAAGCAAATGCACCATTCACGGAAAATACACTGCAGACAAGGCGAGATGGATGAAAAACAAGACATGATGGGGATGGGCAGGAATATTCCGTTGGGGCATCACCGAGTCAAACCACCAGGACTTCCTCGTAAAGTCCTGCCAGTTAACAAACCACAAAATTAGGGAACGTACGTGCCACTGCAGAAGCGCTTAGATACATCCAACTAGGAACATTTCTACTTTATGTTCCTTTCCCTCCCCCCCCCTCCTCCCCCCCCCGGCCGATAGCTGGGGTGGTTTAAGAACAGCGCTAAGTTAACATATACCCTCGAAGATGAGATGGGACGGCGCGAGCTTAGGAGTCACATGGCAGTAATCTTTTGCAACAATGTAGCGTTGAGCATGTCGGAAAATAAGCAAAAATAAAGGAGCTAGACTACCAGAGTGGCCCGGGTCCACTTGCCCGTCCAGGGGAAAAAAAATAAAAAAATAAAAAAATAAAAAAAATAAAAATTACTTTTTAATTTGAATTTGCTGGTAAAGAATTTCGATGTGACCCTGAGGCGAAAGTTGTTCAGTTTAGTTTTCTGCATAAGAATGATGACAGTTTTTTTTCGGATTTTTTGGAAGTCTTTCTTTTTTTTTCTTTTTCGGCTGGGACCTTCCCTGGTCCTTGCAAGGCCGGGCCGCCCGGGAGAATAGGGTGACCCGGGCGCCCCGGCTGGTAGCCTAGCAAAGGAGGACATTTCTGCGATTACTCACAACAGTGACACAATCATGTCCATCCACATCTTCAAGCTGGGACCGTAACACTTGGGCTGGTGGTAATATAGCAATGACATGTCACGCACTGCTGTCTCGTGCTCAGAATTGAATGTAGCGATCCGACATCAGAGTGTTTTTTCATGATCAACAGGGTAGCTCAGACGTGAAGCTGCTGTGGCGAGTGGTTCACGCTCAAGGGGTATCGGAGGAACAGTCATCGACTCAGCTCAAGGGGTATCGTATGAACAGGGGGGGTACAGAGGAAGAAACGTCGACTCAGGTCGCGGCGGAGTATGAGCAGGGGGTTACGGAGGAAGAGGCGTTGACTCTATTTTTAGAGTGCAATATGAGCAGGGGGTCACGGAGGAAGGGTTGATGCATAGGGGAAGTGGAATGTGAAGGGTCGATCGGGCAGGGCCCACATTGTTCCAAAGCATAAAGTGCCGGCAAATGGAAGCCCATCTACCTCTCGCATTCCAAATGTGGCACCCTGGCTAGTTAACTGGCAGCAGAAAACATAAAAAAGGTTGATCTGGCTACCGTCTTCACCCGAATAGAACACCCGGTCATTATAACCGTATTTGGTGCAATTTTAAGTCTACGTACAGCGATAATAACTGGGCGTTCTATTCCGGTGAAGACGGTAGTTAATTGGAACCACAATTCACATATATATATACTGCTCTGGGAACCACTGATTGGCACAAGCTTCGTTTGAAAGAAGAGCAGACCGGACGTGGCTAGTAGACTGGAAGTAACCAAAGGGCAATAATCTTGGGGTACAACGCACCGTAAGACGGGTGACTGATTTCTAGCAGGTACGATACGCGGTAAGACGAGTCGCTGGCTTCTAGCCGTACAATGCCTCCATACGAAAGACATGTTCTGTGCCTTGCCCTAGCTTGACGTACGACGCACGTTAAAACAAATTACTGATTTCAAGCAGGTAAGTGGGTATACTGGAGTATTGGTGAAGAAGGGGGGGGGCGGGAGGGAGAATGGAGCAAAGCTGAAAATCGGTGGCCATCAGTAGGGATGGAAATTGGTTCCTTCAAGTCTGTTCGTTTCGTGACTTCAATCTGAAAGAACTGCTTTTGTGATGTGTGACCAGGTGTGCTTAAACAGGACGCCGGTACACCCATCGGGCGATCGGAAACCGGCCATCCCTGCGTTTGTGTGTGGCGATCGCCGTCTCCATCCCGTTTCTGTTTTCAACATCTCTTGGCATGGACACGATTGACAATGCATCCGTGTTCACTCGCAACGAGCGTGTGCTAAGACCGAGACAGCGATGGCACCCTTTTGGAAAAGTCCAGAGGGTGTCACGACTCACGACGATAATGTTACGCAGGAGCAACCTACTGATGGCACAGCCGGTTGGGCATGTCAGCGTCTACCCTAAGCTTTCCTTGCTGGATAAGGCACAACAAGTTGTAGACATAGCCAAAAGGTGGACAAAAGTGAAAACGACGTTTAAACGGTAGAGTTTTTTCAAAGACGAAACCCCCGCCTGAAATGCACATACCGAGAATGTGCGAGCTTGCGTCTTTCAGGACATCCGTGGTGCCTGCGCAAGGCTGACATGCATATGTTGAGAAATGGTCCACAATGTTTTAAAGAAAAAAATGAAAAGAGGTGCAACTCCGGACGCTCCCATGAACAGAAACTTTGCTTCTATTCTGGTACACACAAGAGCAGGAAACGCTCGACCTTCAGATCGAAAACGGATGGTACCAATGAGCCTAGCTCAGTTGTGTACACCGAAGAACTGTTGAAATACGGATCCAAGTTCGAATCCGCACAACGGAATCGGATGAATGGAACACTATTTCTGAATCACATGGGCCCGGTCAGCTCAATAACGTTGTCTCAAGGCCGCCGTCCTTTAAAACAACGGCGTACGCAGCAATCCATTTCATAATCGGTCACGGTAAACCACCCTTCGAGGATGCGCAATAAAATCGAGGATGCTCGGTTGAATGTGCAGCGGTGAATACAGTGACGACACCGCCCTGCAGTGAGAGGACAGTGGCCAGCGAAACTCCTTCAGAACTTCATCCTCTGATCGTAAATAAATTGGCATTTAGCCAACAAAATATCTGGATAGATCCATTTAACAATCGTCATCCGCATAAATCCTCCGCACAAATCTATGTTCTTCTCTCCAATTCGCCTTTTTACTACCCACCTAGCAATACTGCTAAAGCCTATTCGGGGGACCGCTACAAGCATAGGTACCTCTCACACACAAGGGAGGGGGTGCATGTTGCCACCACCTCAATCAGCAATGGGCAAGGTCCTTACGGCAACCAACCTACCGGTACTCTTAAGCCTGTTCATGGGACCAGTACAAGCATAGCATAGCTACCTCTCGCACTGAAGGGGATGCATGTTTCCCACCAGTGATCAGGGTCGGGGCTAGTGCAGAGACCGAGGCCCACACACCACACACAACCCACACACACGCACGCACATGGTGATGCCCAAAGAACCTTCTGCCAATACTGACCAGGGGGAGCAAGCCAACTATCTCCGATTTCGTGTACCCACCATAAAAGGAAAGACATACGCAACAAAACAAACAACGCACACCCTCTCAGTTCTGTGGCAATAAAAAGCCCGCCCCAAATGTGTCGTCCTGCAACGTAAACCCACCGTGTCCGTTCTCGACCCATCAATCCAAAAGGTACAGAGTCGTTGTGTCTAATTTCCAACCATGAATGTAAAAAAAACTCCTAAATATTACTGTCGATTTTGCACCGATCAATGTAAAACCTCATTTGCATGCATTGAGCTATCCTCATTTCCAAGTGCTTTTTCCCAAACGCTCGGCTTTTTGCCTATTCCCAGCCGACCGGGCCTACTACTACAGCACAAATTAACCAACCTTTGATTTCGTATGATTTTGTCCGCAACATCCACAAGGTGATCAGGGCCTTGCGGGCGCAACCACTTTTTCTAGCCCCGCAGGCCGAGCCTGACTGCCGTCCGCACAACTGGGGAAACCCGCACAAAGATAACCGTGGACTCGTATAGTCGAGATATTCGTCCTTATGAAGTCTCCACTGCAAGGAGCTCGCACGACACTACTACCTCGCAGGGGCGCAAGCAGAAATGGAAGAAGCTGAGATTCAGAGAGTTTGACAAAATCC